AGCTCACAGGAGAGTTTTGGATTTTTTGGGAAGCCCCCTGTCCACTTCCATGATTGTTGGAAAGGCGGTAGTCCCTCAGCTGCTCCAGCGTGTTCACCAAAATAATTCTGTCTGAGTAACCATAATCTGCAACCCGAACACGATTAGCTTCTTGCATTGGATCAAAGGTAAGCCGGTAGCAAGATTTGAGTGTGCTCTTGGATAAACTTTTCTCGGGTCGCTGCACGCCGTACTCGTTCTGTGGCAACGGAGCATTCAGCGAGATGGATATCACCTGCGCGAGGACCTGCCACGGGACTGCTGCAACTGGAGAGGCCTGTGCACCAAACACGCCGTCATGCATACATTGGGTATTTACACATGCATATATGAATGTGCATGTATACATGTTATTAGGTTTTTACACCCACCTTTTTGCAGGTCGGTGATGAGATGTGCATGATTTTTGCGGAAAGCAAGGCAGCTTGAATCCCTACAAACCCAAACATGTTTTTTTGGAGAACCAACAATCTGAAACATGCACAGGGACAAGCAAACAAAGAATCTTATGAGCACTCAGGACCAGCTGAATTTTCCAGAGTCCATCTTTGTCTTTGTGCAGGCGTTGGAGCTTTAAGCAGTTACACCTTCGTTGCAAAGGGGCAAAACAATGTGTACTCGTTCAATTCGATGGTCCCTGTCCCAATGTGGAGTTTTGAACTGCCCAGAAGTGCATCTGGTTCTCTCTCTTTAAACATTAAGTGTCCAACATACAAACATATGCATTTGTTTGTTCCATGGTTGATTCTACACAAACATAGCCTTGTTCAGTTCTTCTTCAAAAACACAGAACAATGCTGGCTTTGGTCACACTGTTTGACACTGCATAACTGACATTTTGCACGGATTCCGCTTTTGGTTTGTGGTGTGCGTAGCTATAGTTCTCAAGGACTAAGGATTCTTCAGTAGAGCTATGCCAACACAACAGCTCACTGGCATTAACGCTACTGTTGACAGGCCCATGCCCACCCCACAAGTATGCGAATGACCGCACAGGAGGCATGACAAGTCAAAGGTGGGCCCTAAGGGCACAACATGCACATGTGCCCGTTTGACAAGCTAGTGAATCTTTGCACACCATCGCAATCAGTGGCCCTTCGGCTGGATCCTCGTCAAGGCTCCAAATCCTATATTTAAACAGTGTGAGAAGAGGCAACCAACTGTTTCATGTACGGTACTACAGCCTTTGTTGCCCCTTGTTGGGCGGTTTTCTCAGAATAATCCTTTTTGCGACTGATTGAATTCGAGATGATTTTTCAAGGCATCTTGAGACGCACCCGAACTGCTCGGCAGTGTGGACATTGGAACTGTCCGTGGCGCCTTCCTGGTATCCCGCGGGTCAATGACTCCATCGTCGAATGCGCCTCCACAAGTGAAATGTACCATCTGTGCAGGGTAGCGAAGTTGGCCAGGTATCCAAACAAGGTTGAACCCCCTTCTAGTGCTTCTTGGAACGAAACGCGGAGGAAATAATCGGAAGGGGCCGGTCAAGCATCATGGAGCCATTTTGCGTGCTCACGCACGCATTGGAAGAGGTCAGGTGTTTGCTGCTACTAAGCAACGAGTCATCCGAAGCAGAGTCTTGCCACTTGCAAAAGTTCTGAAAGCAATGCGCGATTTCCTCGAGTTTTGCCAGGCCTGCCGAAGAATGGTAGGCAGAGTTGCTATTCTCAATTCCATCAATGATTGGCCTGGCGACATGCAACATTGCATGACAACAATGCTAAAAAGAGTTGTTCCGAGCCAACTTCAGTCATGCGCCCCTTGTCAAAAGGGATCAGTCCAGCATACAGGTATGACTGGCCCAGATGCTTTTGTGGCTCGCGGTCGTCACCCAAGTAAGGCGGTGGCTTCTTCAGCATCGCCACCATCTCCTCCGGCATATCCTGAGTTCAGCAACTTCCAATTAGCAGCTCTACCCTGTTACATGTATGTAGCTCATACGTACAATATGCATTTATGTATATATATATATATATATATCTGTATATATGTCTGTATATAAGCATTGTCATACATGAGCTATCTTTCTCCACTCGCATTATGTGATTGTACACGCAAAGAACTTCATGCGTATGATGCACAGTACACAAATCTGACATGTAATCTCATGCATGCCATACACGAGTGAAGCTGTGAGCCAAGCACATGGGGAAAAGTTGGGGTGCTGTCTGCGTGCCTGGGACAGAAAATGGGGTGACTCTTGCTAAGGTGGCTGGTGCTGTCATTAGTTGACCCCGGGTTTGCACGGACATGTTGAACCAATGGTACAACCGAAAACCCAATCAGGAAATCGCTTGATTGGGGTGGGGTGCCCAAGCAGAAGAAGCGCAGAAGGCGTGCGCGTCCTGCTGCCCGTCCCTTTTCAACGCCTTCTGCTTGACAATCGCGACAACCTAGGTTTGCAACAGCAAGCAACAACAACATGCATCACCTGGGTGTCTTACGGGTGTGTCTGCAAACGGAGAAAGCTCAAAATGCTTATGTTCACTATTGTCCAGTTGGTGTCGCGCTAAATATCTCCCAAAAGAGTTCCCTCAAGAAAGACATCCCCAAAATCATAATATGCAACCCGCGGCCAAGCGAAGCCAAAAATGTCCCTGCCATTCTAGAGGCTGAAATTCTTGGCAAGCATGGGGCTACATACTGACGTGTCTCCGGTGCGTCATGCCCACCTGGCTCGGCCGCCAGCCAGCATGGGTATCGAAATGGGTCAAATTTGAAGCACCAGGGGACCGGAGTTTTTTGTCCTTGGTTCCATTTTCTGGGGTTCCAAAACGGATACCCATTTTTGAGCCACAGCCAAATGGGGAATCGGACCTCTGAACTGGATCTCGGGGGCCCAATCTGCTCAAAGTCATCCTTGCATGGACCAGAATGCTTGTCGAATCTTGTCGATGTCCTTCAACCCTATAGGTGCGATGGTGATAAGCCCGCGGCCCCTGCAGCTTGCTCACCGCCCATCACCGAGATCTTGGCGTTGGGCCACAGGAAGGTGAAGCGTGTGCCGAAGGCTGGCCTGAGCTGTGCGGCTTTTTCGGAGGATTTTGAGGCTCGGTACCTCTTTGGACCTTGTGGAGGGAAATCAAAGGAAAAACAGCCATTTTGGCGACATCCTACATTGTCATCACATGTCAATACAAAGCCGAATCCAAATGCCAATCCTTGTAATTCATGAGTTTTGACACTCACAACCATTTGTCAGCTTTCTCACGAAGCGGTAATCTGAAACTCCTTGTTCCTGAAATTGAGCTCCATCGCAGAACTTTCACCGGCTACTTGAAAGCTGCCCGCTGTAAAGAAGTACACACAGCCCACAGCTTTGAAATAATTTGGTACTCGGTACAAGTGCTGCATGCCAAGTATGCTTTGGCAGCTCCAGCTGGAACGTCGCACTTACTCAGTAAAAACATAGTACACAATGCACTATAGGTCTTGTGCGAAACTAGTGCGAATCTTGCACCAAACCTTGCCAGAAATGGTGTGGAATGTCTGGATATCGTGACTCAAAAGCGTCAACATGACAATGCGAAAGCCCAGCGCCACGCCTTCCAAGCCAGGAGTAGCTCTAAGCCCAGTATGTCCCGCCAGTCAGCAAAGGTGGGTGCCTTCCATGACATGGGGTGATTGAGCAAAGCTCCTTATGCAAAACGTTCGCCCAACAAAACAAATGCTTCGCAAGGTCCATCGCGGAAAATTCGGGAGGCCAATGGAATGTGTCCGAATGCCTTCATATTATTCTCAATACAACGACCTTTCGGATGACTACTGATTAAGCAACACATGAGCAGCACACCATCGCTTTCCTCATTTGATGAGCCAAACCCAAGCCATGTTTTCTAAAACATGGTACCTAGATGTAACTGGTGAAGCTAGTGATGCCCCTTTGTTTCCTCAACCGGCCGTTTCAGTTGAACCTCCCCACCCCCTCCTCCCCCTCCTCCCCTCCTCCCCCTCCTCCCCCTGCGAATGCCGCCCAGCTGCCCTGCCATTGCATAATTGCCAGCCCCGAAGCTGCCTCCGCACCTATGAAGCCGTGATAAGCCGTGCATGCGGTAGATGGGAAAAGAAATCCTCCCAGACCGCCAGACCGCCCAATGAGCTCAGCACACGATGGAGAACTTGGGGACAGGCACGTTGCTGACCTCACGAATTGCCGGAACATCAATTCATCAATCAGACATGAATCATCCGTCCTTCGCCATGTCTGATGTACAAAATACATGCGCTCAGCTGTGCCAACTGCCATTGGCCCAAGTCCAATTGAGAGCCCGACCGCATTCACCATCTTTGCTCCATCCTTCGTGATGCCACCCTGCTCAAAGGCTGTGCCAATGATGAACCTTTGCTGACAGCTCATGGCATGCTATTCCGGGCTACTCCACGCAGTTCATGGGGTTGCTCGGTTTAGCACCCAAAGCCGGCTCCCTTGACACATAGCCATCTCGGTGCACATTTACTCTCTGTCACGCGTTGCTAACCAGCACCGCGCAAAACAGACAAGGAGCCCCGTGACATTGTGGAGGAAGACCAGCGGCGTGCCCCGCTTGCCGCACATCTGCACGAAGTGGGTAGCCTCTACACAAGCAATCCACCAGTTTCTCAAACACTCTCTGCCTCGATCTCAGCAGCAACAAATGCACCAACCACTGCCCGGCTTTCTTGGGAAGGTGTCTTTTCGACAAAAATACCACACAAGGGGGGCTGCTATGGACTTAGGACTTGGGCACCGCCACCTTGATGGCCGACTCGCTGAAGAGCATGCCGTTATTGCCGATGATGCCAACCGGATAGCCCTCGATATGCCTCGCCGTCAGTGGCTTCAAAATGAAAGGGCCGACGACTTGTTTCCCTCAGATGTTTGAACCATACAGGCCGCGCATGGCTTCGTTTCAAGTCAAGCCACTGCGACCTTGTCTTTTCGAGAGCTCCCTTAATCCCAGTGCCAAGCTGCGCGAAACCGCACACGATGGTTGGCCCGAACTTGGGCTTGAATTCGTGGAAGCGTGACCTCCAGTTCAGCTTGCAGTGAAAGGAGTGAGGGGTGTCCAATTTGCTCTTTGCATTTGACACATTGCCAACGAGCAGCACATAGCAATCACAACACACGCACGGCATAGATGCATTGATGTGCGAGGCGACGCCAGCGTTCCGTAACAAAAACCAGTGTAGCAAGGAGAAGCAGCTCTTCTGAATAGTTGGCTCACTCTGGGGTGCCAAGCCCATCCACGATGCGTGCAATCACCTCACGGATGTCGTAGGGGATGTTGGTGCTCTCGGGCACGACGCTCAGGATGCTTTCCCGATCATACCTGTGTCTGTCAACATGAAGGGCAAAGTTCGAGCAGGGAATTCTATCTGTGAAAGGGATTTCCAATTGTTGCACATGGCTTCCTTTCAATCCCACTACTGGGCCCAACTTGTGTCCTAAACCGCCAACTTGCATCAGTCGTATCGAAGCTCGTTGTTGGGCTCCCAGCAGAGGCGGCTCTGGTGCCTCGGATATTTCGCAGTTGATCCAAGGGCACCTTTCGGTCCAAGCCAGAAGCCCGAAAACATCCTTTATGCGAACAGAACCTTTGTCCTGGTCCGTGTCCAAGTGTTGGCATTGGACTTGCAGCCAAAGCTCCACTGTATTCATCAATATCGTTCTCGGCTGTCGCCCAGACAGGTTTTCAATAACCTGCAGAAGCTCAGAGCTGCAAGACGAGTGCGCGTTGCAAGAGCGCATGACATGATCGTTCGCACAGACGCCCTTTCAAACCACCTGTTCCATCAAAGCCCTGTGTTTTCTGTTTGGTTTTTGTTGTGCGTTTGTTGTGCTTTTGTTTTCTTCTTTTGGGGGGGTGGGGTTCTCAAAATGGTGGACTCTTTGTAGTTTGTGTTTGAACCGAAACTGAAAGGGAACCTCATTTGTTTGGTGCCCAAGGGCAAGAACCCCATATCTGAACGACGTTGAAGTTTCCAAGATTTCTGAACGGAAGCCTGTGCACTCTCTCACACACAACCATGTTGGCAGCTCTCAATGCAGAATAGGCCTCACGGCACATCTGCAGGGCAGTGCCCTGATCCGCAGCCACGAGCAGTAAATGACATTTCATGAGAGCCGGGATTGTCCATTGCCTTCCTCTTCCCCTTCGTTGCTTGAATGACACGCAAAAAAGAGCTAAAAGCAAATCAGAGAATATGCAGGTCATGTTATCAAATGTGTACAGGCGAGCAGCAGCATGTCTCATCTGAATCTGATCTGCAATGATCCAACCTGTGCCATTTCCGACTCGCTTTCTGTTATTGTCATGTTGCAATGCCAGAGGGCTGACAACCCAGTTTGTCGGTCATCCTAACATACGGCAATCCGGTTGCCCCCGCTACACCTGTAGTGGTCACGCGTCAACAGGGCACCTTTTCGAGGGGTGAACTCCGAAGCGAATTTGCCCCAACCAAAAGGGAGCATGCCACCGGGAGATGTGTTTTGGTCTCGGCCAAAACGATTCCAGGGCCTCGTCAGGAGCCATCTGATCGCAGGTTCCCGACTTGGTGGTGTGCATCACCGCCTCAAAGGCCGGAGCTTGGCCAAACCACTGCACGAGCGGCCGTGGCTGCCTCTCAAGGCTTATATGGACAGCAAGCTCCCCACGATTTGTGCTTCACTTGTTCACTTGTTGTGCTTGATCAAAGGGCAGTTTCACAAGAACTTGCGTAGTTCTGGAACTAATTGAGCTAGCTCGCTCTAAGAATGCGATCTTTAAGACTAGATGCAATAGCGCGTGCAAAGCTACGAAAAAGCTGGACAATGAGAGCTGGGAATAGAAGCGGGCCGAACACGTGAGTCGCAATCAAAACCTGGTACTAAAATGGTTTACCCAGAATCATATACAGGATTAAGATGGCGGCCGCAGCTAGTTCTGGTTGGGATCGTCGCTTACTAACCCTGATCTACCCAGGTTTTGATCGTGGCTCACGTGGCCCTGCGCGTGAATTCGGCCATTCTGCATGTCATGCAAACCACCTCGGTCACGACGTCTGTACGGACGCGGGCTCGGAGCGGTCTCGGAGACGGGCCCATTGGCACGGACCCGAGCACCGTTCAACAAGTGAACCTTCTGCGCACCTTGGGTGGGTCGACCCTCAAAAACTAATGTGTTGTTTTCCTCGTTGTTAACTTCGCACGCGCAACCCTCGGCTGACTTTCGGGGGATCAACCTCAAACAAGTAGTGTTTTTGTCAGCTTGCGGACTTTCGGTTGGTCGACCTTAAACAACGTGCGGTGTTCATCGTTTTGAGAAAGAGAAGAAGAAGGAGAAGTAGAAAGACAAATAAGAAAGAGAAAGAGAAACCGACAGAGAAAGAGACATAATAAAAGAGAAAGAAGGAGTCAGAAGGAGTAGTAGAAAGAGAAATGATGAAGAGAAAGAGAGAGAGAGAGAGAGAAGGGGAGAATAACCGTGCTCCAAACTATGGTTCCTATATTTTGAAACTTCCGATCTCCGGCTCTGTGCCAAACGTGATGGCAGTAGTCAACTCACGTGTGGAAGACCGTCCTCCATGTTCTGCTTTGGAAAGGGATGCTTGGAATTCCATGGACCGCCCGCACGGTGAAGCTCCTGCTCCTTTCTCAACTCTGAGAGCTCTTCGTCATCCCTGGCTACTTCCCCAGGACCAACTGTACTGAACATCTCACTTAGACAAGATGGGAGAATCACATCGCCAACTTGATGAGGCCGCCAACATCTGAGGATCATGAATTGTTACGGCTGTGCAAAGAGGTCGCCTCCCCTCCAGCTTTTCAATATCCTTGGGACGCACAGCGACCCTTGTGCTAAGATCCCTGCCCCACCAAGGCTCTGCTCATCAGCATCCTCACCGGTCGCAGCCTGCCACTGCCGACGTGTGCAGAGCTGAGCTGGCTGCGCCATGTGAAGCTACCGTTTTGGGGCTCGTGCTAAAGGGACCCAAAACAGAATCATTCTATACCCTCATACTTCGTATTTTGGGGATTCCCATGTTTTGAGATAACACCACGCAGTGTTCTTCAGCGGGCCACTGCTTCACTGATTCACTCGCCTCTTGTGCGGCTCTCGCAGCATCAACAATGTCACATTTGCTGGAAACTCCCTTCAAAGGTTTCAAAGAACAGCAAACATAATTAAAACCAACTCAGTTAGTAGGGTCTTTATGTTTCAATTTTCCAGAAAAGCCGCAGCCTCGGTGCACTCGACTGAAAAGCAACGCTCATTGCAATCAAAATGAGATTCGCACGAACATCTTCTTAGAGACTAAGAGTAGTCAAGGACAAGCAACGCCAGCTTCGTTCAAGAAGAGAGGAATCTCAATGCCTTCACCAAGGGAGGACCGCCAAGGTAAACAGTGCCATTCTCCTGCACAGGCAAGGCAACCGACCGACCGGTTCATCAACCAACCCACTCACCCACAAATCCACCCACCAACCCACCCACATGCCAACCAACCAACCCACCCACCAACCAGGCACGCTGAGCACATTGTGCTCCTTGCTTTGGAAAACCATGGCTTCCCCCAACTCCATGAGCCGTGCTCGTCTTGCATAAACTGACTTCCTGACAAACCCAACATAGCTTCACATGCCCTCTCAATCCCTCCCTCCCGCTAACATGGAACCCAAGTGACGACATATTATGGATCGCCCGTGGCATGATCATTGAACTATGCAACGCGGCGCTTGCATGGACCGAACATCCTTGACTATGATGGTCTCGTCGCACATGGCTGGAGTGTAGGCTCCACCTAGCGCAGAATCCAGCCAGTCTGCAACCAAACGGTGCCAGTGCTGTCAGCGCAGCGCCTATCCTGTCGCTCTTGTCACAGGCAGCCGCGATAACAAGGCCAGTCCATTGAATCTGCAACGCCCTACATTCCTGTTCACACAGTAAAGTCTGGCAAACCACACATCCACAAGCTCCGACAGACTTGGTGTTGTTGACTACTTCCCTGACCCAAGCCATGGGCCCTGCCTGCAGTGCACATGCCACACACCACCGCAATCTGATGGATGCCCTGCAAATGACAAGGGGGCTGGCAACAAGCTTCAAGGAAACTTCTAAGATCAGAGGCCCGCAGCTGCAAAAAAATCAAGTGCGTCTTCTGAACACTATGCCTGAATATGTATATACTTCTTCACCTGCATGCAAGCATGTGTTGTATGTTTATATATGATGTAAAATGCACATGTGTACACGCACTTTTTCGCTCTCTCTCTCCCTCTCTCTCTATATATATACACACACACTATTCTTCGTGCTGAAATCGCGCAGGTTTCTCAACGCAAATCAGCAGCCTATGGCGACACAAATGACAATGGATGCCAACACTCAACCTTACGCTGCAACCCACAGACACATCTTTTGACACCGGCCCGGCCTTGGCACTCATTCTGGCCTGTCGCATGTTCTTTGGTCACGCCCGTCACTGTATCGGGAGGCGTCCACAAGCATTCAGAGGAAAACCTTCAAACACATGACAAAAGCAGGATTTCGTCGGGATGACAAAAGCAGGATTTCGGCATGCCCAAGAACACTGCACGCAACAGAAGCAAGCGAGGCTTGTCCGTGTCTTGGTGTCAGATCACCTACTGCTCAGCCAGGTGGCTAGCTGCAGAGTATGTTTCATGGACACCAAAACCCTCCAGGAACAAAACCCGCTTCAAAGCCATGATTTTCACTACATGGCAGCTTGCTCATGTTTCTACCGATTGCTGCCGTGTGATTCATGGCGAGCGAGGCTGACATGCGGCCTCGGGAAGCCTGATGTGTGGCTAAACTGCAATTGTTAAGTTTCGTGGCGGGAAGCCTGTTTCCCTTGGTTCTTGACCATCTGCTCCACTCATTCGTTGGGCCAAAAACGGGAGTGTCTCAAAAGTTGTGGCCGCACTCCAAGTGGTGGATGTCCCATTGGTTCTAGTTCAACCATTCTTTTAAAACCCAGGCGCTCGCGCCCCTGCCCCCCCCCCTTCCGTGCAGCTTAGTGGAGCACCTGGTTGTAGAATTGCCGGCCACCCTCCACGAACATGGCCGGCAGCGTGCCGCTGTAGGTCAAGTCCTTACTGCTTCGTCGCCGATTCGCGCCTTTCGCGCCATTCGTTTCGCGCTCGGGGCGCCCACCCGCTTCTTGTCCTTGTCGCCTGGCAGGAAGCTGCAGGAGTGACTTCATATTGTGTTGTTCACCTTGTGCATGGCCCGAGCCACAAGCAGTGCTTCCTGTACAGGGAGCCATGGATCCCATAGGACGCAGCTTCTTAAGTGCTCAAAACGGCAACTCGCACTTGTGCCTTGCTTCCCACACGCAAGAGACTCGCAAGAGGCCAGGCAAGCATCTTCAAAAAGAGTGTGATCTCTCGGCTGGTCAGGTTAGGACGGTTAGAATGATCAGGATGGTCAGGAAGTCAGAAAGTCTTTTCTGTACGGCTCCCTAGAGTCAACTGAGTTCCTAAGCTGGGGCACATGTTTGATCGTCTCTCCTAAAGCCGTACAGGATTCAACTTGAATCAGCTAGTCGTTCTGGGGCCAATCAACATCGCCATAGTCATTCTGACAGCGGGCTGATTGGAGCGTGTTGGACTCTAGAAACTCACCTCGTTTCCTTGTGCACAGTGTGGGGCTTCCATAACAATCTGAGACACTGGGAAAAGAAGCCCCCATCGCTTTTTTTTCTCCGAGTACCCTTCTTTAGGTTTTTGTTTCAAAGGGGAAACTATTCTTTGAGTCCTATTTTGAGACAAAGCCGTCCCCTGTCCCCCAAAGGCCCGCCTTTGCCCGGGCCACCCTGGGCATCCAGCTTGGCGCCGCCGCCGTCGATCAAATACACACAGGGCCTACGTGGCTGCACGCGTATGATGTTTGGGTGATTTTAAGCAGGGGGAACCCACTAACCAATTTGGGAGGTCCCCCATTTTAGGAATTAGCCCTTTTCCAACAACGAAAGTGGACAAGAGGCCTTTTCAAGCGGATGGCAAGTTTCCAGAACGACCCCTGTCCGCTTCCATCATTGTTGGAAAAAGGACAACACAGCGCCATTTTGGGAGGGAACACATACCCTGCCATGTGGAAGGCAGCAAGCAAGTGGGTGCGCCATTTTTCAAGGACACCGTTCTGGGGGTATGTTGGAAGAAACTAAGCCCTCCGAGCTGGGTGCCGGGCAAGCAGTTCGCTTCTGCAATCTCTTGGGCGCGCAGCCACTTCTTGTAGCCAACTGGGAAGGCCACTCCACCTGGACATTCAAGGTTCCGCCAAGATGCCCCCTGTGAAACATTGGTACTCGCGTGGAATTGCCCCAAAATAGAGAAGCACCTCTTGGCATCTGCAAAGGGATTCTAATTGTTTTCAGATCTGGTATGGAGTTTCCAGAGGTGTTGGCATAGCCTCACAATTTGGGCATCTTCTGCATCACTTGGTCGGCGCTAACACAGCTGTACACCGTGTGCGAGTTTCTGTGTGTGTGTGTGGGTCTGTGTCTGTGTCTGTGTCTGTGTCTGTGCCTGTGTCTGTGTCTGTGTCTGTGTCTGCGTCTGCGTCTGCGTCTGCGTCTGCGTCTGCAACTGCGTCTGCGTCTGCGTCTGCGTCTGCGTCTGCGTTTGCGTCTGTGTCTGTGTCTGTGTCTGTGTCTGTGTCTGTGTCTGTGTCTGTGTCTGTGTCTGTGTGTGTGTGTGTCTGTGTGTGTGTTTGCAACTGGGTGTGTGTGCGGCGTGCAAGCTTAAGCACCGTTACAAGTGCAAACATTGCGTTTGTGTGTGCGCGCGTGCGTGCGTGCACGCGTTCTGGGTGAGGTGTGTTTGTGCATACCCGTACGCATGTGTGTGACATGTGTGACATGTGTGACATGTGTGACATGTGTGACATGTGTGACATGTGTGTGTGTGTGTGTTTAGGTGTGCGGGCGTAGCATTTGCAAATGCTGTTTTCTCGAAAGGAGCTGGTGCTTTTCCTGGAAGCCGCGTGCACCCCCATGACTGATAGCGAGCTTGCTCAACAACAACGCTCAGCATCATGCTCCTGTTTCGGATTCTTTCTTATTCAAATGTCAACGTGCAGATTCCCGTGCTTGCTCTTGTAGGATGCCGCGCGCTCAACGTTCTGCCTGAACATGGGCCTGAACAAGCTAGTAGAAGTTTGGTGGAAGCCCGACCCCAAAAGCGCCAGTGAGGTTGCCTAACGCATCCAAAAGCAATGCGTTCTTACACAGGTCATGTCGGGGCATGAAACGCTCTTTCTTTCTTGTGATTCCAACCATCTTCAAATCCCCTGTACTTCTCCAGTGTGGCTGTCGGGAGCTGCCGCACCAGCTTTGCTGTGTACTCGCAAGCGATCTTTCACGAGCCCCAGCAGCCTTGGCCGACTACTTGGCCGCAGCTAAAGACCACTGACTGTTCTTTTCTTTGGGCATGAGAGGGTAGTCGGGCTGCAGGTATACAAAGCTGTCTTTCAGGCTGCACAAAAGGTAGTTCCGGAGCATACGTATAGTCTACAACAAGCTGCAATAGTATGTTGATACTTTTTTGTATATTAGCCAGTTATAACTACAATATGAGCGTACGGCAAAACTATTGCTCCAAAAGCGGACAATGAGCAGCGGGCACTATTTCTCGCTAATCGCAAAGACATTCGCACAATTTCGAATATGTAATGGCAACCTGCCGGGTTCAACCTTTTGTGCAAAGGACATCACCACCGCAAGGACATAAACCTGGACACCACCAGGACATCACACCACCACCAAAATATGAGTGTCTTGTTTGAGGATAACCCATTTTTGGTGGTTTTAAATGGACATCAAGAGGAAAACGGCAATTTTAGGGGATCCCTGAAAAACGACAACCTCACATGAACAACATTGACACCTGCAAGATCATGGAGTATCAGACCTCATACGCTACGAAGGAACAGGAGGGGAGTTTTTTCACCCCCAAGTACGCAGCCACAATCAGCGCAGCCTGGCCCCGCCTTTGATGGTGGCATCCGTGCCAATGAACATGACCTGACACTTTCATGATAGGTTGATAAGCAAACGCAGCAAAGAACTCCAAACGGCAACTGTTTGCGGAAAGGCTTCATTTCAACACATCCAGCAGGATGTGCCGCAACTAGGAAGGATTGATGGCCATCCTTTTTAAGCCCAATCAGCCCCTGCGCGGCATGTGAACACCCGCCTCTCGCCCGCTGACGACACCGATGCCAATGACGGTGCCGCCACTGTGAACACCACCTCCATACATCTCCCACCTATGTGCGCATGCGTGGGGGTGTTTCTGAGGGCGGGTGTGTTTGCTTTTGTTTGTTTGTTTGTTTGTTTGTTTGTTTAATTGATTGTTTGGTTGAATGTTTGATTGTTATGTCTTGCTTGTTTGCGTGTTTGCTTCTTTGCTCACTTGTTTGTTTGCCTGCGAGTGTGTTTGTTTGCTTACTTGATTGTTGCTTTTAGATTGTTTGTTTTGCATGTTATGAAGCTATGATTGTTGTGCTTGTTGTGTCTCTGTTGTTTGCTTTGTTTCTTGTTATTGATTTTGTTGCTGGTTGTGGTTGTTGTTGTGGTTGTTGTTGGCGGTGGTGGGGGGTTGTTTTGTTTTGTGTTGCTTGCGTTGCTGTTGTTTGGCTTTGCTTTTTCACTCACTCATTGTTGTTCTGGCGTCGGTTTTGTTTGTCTGCCTGCCAGCTAGCCTGCCTGCCTGACTGTAATCTGATTGCTTGTTTGTTTGTGTATTTGTTTTGTTTGTTGTTTGCTTGTTGTTTGCTTGTTTGGTTGGTTGGCCTGTTCGTCCCGTCTGTCTTTCTTTCTTTATTTCTTTCATCCTGTGTGTCCGTCTTTCTTTTCATGTCCTTGCCTTGCCAGTATTTTATTCCCTAGTCCTTTCTTTTCTTCTTTGTTTTTTTATGTGCGTGTGCAGTGTGCGCATGTTCATTTGCTTGCTTGCTTCCTTGCTGGTTTGCTTGTCTACACATTTGATTGATTGATTGATTGATTGATTGATTGGTTGGTTGGTTGGTTGGTTGGTTGGTTGGTTGGTTGGTTGGTTGGTTAGTTGGTTGATTGGTTGATCTATTGATTGACTGACTGACTGACTGACTGCCTACCTGAGTCATTGATAGTTTGACTTGAGTTATTGACTAACTTGCTTGCTCGCTCGTTTGCGCGCTTGTGTGTGTGTGTGTTTGCTTGTGTTTGCTTGTGTGCGTGTGCTTGCCAGTGTGTGCTTGTGTCTGTGTGTTTGTTTGTTTGCTTGCTTGCTTGTTTGCTTGCTTGTGTGACTATTGGGTGGTTGGTTGGTCGTCGCTTGGCAGGCGTCTAGTTTTGTAACCTTGCAAACCGGAAAAATGTACGGAGACGTATCATGACCCTTCGTAGTTACAGAACTATTGAGCAACATCCAATGACATAAGACCAGTTTCTGCAGGCCCCTTGCCCCTGATCCCAACAAACTTCAAGGTCAGAAGACTGTGCATTGCATGACAAGTGGTTGAATCTCCTTTCACTGTGAGCCTCTGAGCCCGTAAGAAAAAGGGTCCAAAAAACAGGGGGCCGACACCCCCTCACACCTCCACAATCCTTACCCCCAAATCGGAAAAACGTTGCGGCCTCCCCTCCATGATTTCCCTACTCCCACGAAAAGGGTACCGTTTTTGGCAGGAAACAGCCCGCTTCCGTACAACAACAGGAACTTTTCACCGCGCTGAGAAGTCCGCCCTGCCAGTTGCGAGATCTCCAGAAAGTCCGTGCCCTGCCGCAAGCTGCGGGTTGGGACCATGCGAATATACAAATCTGTACAAGGAACAAACACCTCAAATGATTCGTACAATCTATACACACATATACAATCTATACAATGAGGTGGCTGTTTGATATGGGAATGGCTCCCTAAGCGAGCCACCCCCCCAAGGAAGACTTCGCCTATGATTGCATGCCTTGCTTGGACCTGGCTGCTCTTTGACGAACTTCACAGAGGCCACCTTTCCCAATGAACGTCAATCCTACCTTCAACGTTTTGCAAATCCTTTTTTCCGCTGCCCAGGACTTGTTCCGCACTACATTACTGGGTTGGAGAATGGGATGGTGGAAGAATCTTTTGGCCAGTCTTCTCTGAGGGAAGGGTTGATCCCTTGCTAAGAGCTAAACCTTTTCAGGGACACGCTCTCTAAGTTCTAAACATCTAATTAGATTCTTTCTCGAACAAACTCTGCCAACCAAGGAACTCGCATGTGCGCTAGCAAGCTGTGCAACTGCTCGCATAAGTTGACACATTGTTTCTTGGATCTCAGAGCAATATTATCAGTACAAGTCTAGTTGAAACCAAAACCAGTTGCGCTGCGATGGATAATTGACAATCTCCATGTTTGGTTTGCGCAGTTTTGCCAGGCAAGAACTTAACCAGTGCGAATAATGTTTTCAGTGCGATCTGCACTCGCCTGCAAACTCACATAGAATCTGCAGACTACTTTCTTCAGAAGAAGCTCAACCTACGCACGCGTGCTTGGTGTTTACTGACATTTCCCTGTCCTTTTTCTCCGTGAGGGCATGATTCCTGCAATACGAGTTTACCACAAATGCTCTCTTTTGGGATTATCAGCGCCTCGTCGATGATCTTGCGAATGCGCTCGCGAACCAGGAACTTGCCTCTTTTGCGATGCAGCTTCACAGCCTGCGAGCACGGTCAAGCCACTTGTGTCGGACGTCTCACTGCAAACAAAATGAAATCTTTCGACCCTCTCAGCCCGGAAGGGTGCCTATACGGCAGCTGGTGCTGGCTGGCTACTCTTTCCCAGCCTGGTGCTCAAATGCTGTTGCTATGCGCAGCTGTTTCTGGGTCCTTGAGCGGGCTAATGCACATTAATTCACTCACACAAGTTTTCTGTTACCATACTGGACAGAGGAAAATGCAAGAGTCCTTTGGGTTTTGCGGGCAAGTCCCCATGTCCTTTGGCCACTGACTTTCACCGAACCTGACTTGTCAATCTTGCTCTCAAGCAAACAAAACCCTTGACTGATCAATCTGGTTGGCTGCTTGGGGGTGCGCAAAACAAGTGAAGCATGCTCACCAAAAAGCCAAAAAGCCACACCGCCCTATGAACCAACCAAATGTCCGCAGTCCCGGGTTCTTGTGCCAGTTTCAAGCGCATGAATCCTGGACCAACCCAAGCTCCAAAATGACCTGGACATATTCCATGCCGGTTCCAACTGTTGAACCAGCACGGAAATCTGTGAACAACTTCGACTTAGCTGTGAGTTGTGCTCTCTAGCTGCAACTCACGCTTTGCCTGTGCCACCACAGTCTGAGTGTATGTGGGCCAACTGTGCATTCATGATATGAGCTTGTCTACGTCTTTCCTACGCACGCAGGTAAACAAGGCTGAACAGTGCAACATCTCCAACACCAGAGCAGCACTGCCGCCTTTAAAGTCTCAAACGACATTGAGTCCAATTATCTTAGAGCTGGATGGGTCGACGTGTTTGAAGCATGGCACAGGGCCAGGCTTCCTATTTATGCGCGTTGTTCTGATTGCTGTTGCTAGGACGCGAGGCAGCGGTTGGATACTGGCCTCAGCGCCTCAGGGCCTTGTTCATTCATGCACAACTTGTTTATGTGAAGTGTACCCCGAGCCCAAGCGAACTACCGCCCAATAATTTGGCCCTGAATCGTCAGACATTCGCACGTCATTGCCAGACATGTTTAGAAAGAAATACTTGAAATGGTTTGTGCTTCCGTCAGCAATGTTGATGAGCATCATGTGTATGCAAATTGAGCGGACCTATAAATCCCAGCCCTAACAAGTGCCTCTGCGGCCCGACTGGAATGCCTACGACACCACCAGAGTACACTCAATGCATCGGCTTCACCCGTAAAATAATCGTTCGTCACTTCAGGTTCCTTCTGTTAAAGGTCTAAGAGCAGCCAGCTTGACCCTTGCCCAAGGCATCCGTCGCAAGTTGTAGCCGAGGCTCGCGTTCGGAGCCCCCGTGACTAACGGAGTCAAGCCTCCTGCGACAAGGTGTTGTTTCGCTGCGCGTCTGGCACTTGCCGGTTGAGCCAAGCAATTCAACATTGGACACTAGAGGACATCTTGTCATGGTCAAAGCGCAGTATGGGTGATGGTCACGGTTGCCCAAGACGGCATGGGTGGCAAACCCGCAAGAGTGTCAAACAAAGCATAAGGGGCACGGCTGGTAGGCCCCATATGAGCACCCAAGCCATGCGTCTGTGATCAATCATTTGGCGAGGCAGCCCCTTTTCAGCCGAACCACAGCTGCAAGCTCCTGGCTTTATCATGCTCGAGAATCACCAGCACTCCGGCTTCCTAAAGGCCACAATCAGAAGCTGGTCTTTGATGGATTTGTGCAAAACTGTGGAAACAATCACGCGTGCGGCTGCACCAATGTATGGATGGGACTGTCCCCTACAAACCTTCACTTGGCTCCTATGAAGCTCTGAAGCAACCTCGGTGTTGTGCTGGTGCCGCTTCTTGTAGACCGAGTCGTTCTCTTTGACCTTGGTCCTGGCCGGGGGCCGAGTTTCGTAAACAGAATACAGAGGGTGCACGTTACCGCCGACCGTAGGTCTTCAACCAACCAACATCTCCTGAGGACAGGAGTGTCATAAACTTGCTCTTCCGGGCTGCCGCTGGCATACCAAGATCCTCAAGCACGAACGTGCGCTGTCGGCGTGCTGCCTCTCAAGCACCATTGCAGTCGGATCAACCATATCAAGTGTCACCAAATCGATGTCTCCTAATTGCAACGTGCAGGGAGTCAATCGGAGAGTCATACAGCCCAATATGTGTTAAATGCCTGCTGCTTGCACCTCGCCCACCCAAACGCAATGTATGCAATTGTAATGCGGGCCAAACCATGCAAGTCTCACCAAACTCATGCGATTGGTTGCAAAGCTGCAAGCTGGATCCAGCAGTAGTCATTGCTAATCCAGGATCTCCTGCCCAATCCGAAACCGATCCAAATGACCGAGAAAGACCACCAAGGCCGACTGCTCAACTCCTCCAGTCAAAAGAACAGCATCCAAAAAGCATGGAATGGACATCTTCCTACACCAAACTTGGGTTTCTCTTAATTTCGCGAGACCCAAAACTGACAGGCTTACCTTTCTTTCCCTTCACCGGCCGAGCGCGGCTCCCTGTCCCGGACTGAGGCTAAGGAGGCAGCTGGGCAGCGCTCGCTGACTTCCAGCGGTGTCAGTCACCTTGCGGGCCTCGAACTGAAGCGTCTGCAGCAAATGGGCAGGCGCAAAGGGAAGATCCGCCGCAGGCAAGCGCCACTTTTTCGTGGCATATGTATAATAACAATAAGAAGAAGAAGAAGAAGAATAATATTACTATACATATATATATATATATTTACATATATATGTACGTAGGTACAGTGTTAAAACATGTGATACATTGTGTATATATATATATATATATATGATGTATACTATATATATATATATATCAACAATTTAATACATTTTGTGTGCAAATGTGTGTGTGTGTGGGCGGTTTGGCGTTGTCTGACATGAATTGGTCTGGGAACCTTCGTGAACAAACAAAACCAAAAACAGCTTTCGCGAGCTCTGTCGCGGACCTTTCGCGGGGCTACTTTTCTGAACGCCACTTTTTTGCGGGGTTCAACCCCCCCCGCCCCCACACTGATTTGAGCTTCCGACCGACTTGGCTACGGCCTCGTGCACCTCCTCCACAGCTTCGCCACTGGACTCGATGCGGAACAAGGGGACGCCCTCCACCGAAGGCGAGGCAAACACCCGGAGAATCGGCTGATTCTTCCGAGGGATTCCAAAACGTTCAGCCAAGGTAAAATAAAGATAGGGGCGGGTATACAACCACTATATAGTCGGCAGACTTTTCCATTGGGGTCATGGGTTGGGATGCTCGGCTTCTCTTCTTTGTGCAAAGTGGGGGGACAACATGTACTTACCATGGTTTCTGGTCGGTTTACTTCAAATATACAGGGAATCTACTGATCTCCCGCCTAGGCATGGAATTCAATTGGCGTATTTCAACATCCTCATGACCCACCCGCTGTCAGGGAGCGCGAGTTTCAGTACAATGGGACTAAGTTACGTGCCAAATTTCGACATTTCGACAGGGTGCTTTGCTTGTATTGAATGATGGTAATAACCCACGTACCATGGTTATAAGTCTCCTAAGTGGGTTATAACAAGGCTTACTAACTACTTGCGAAGTACCCTGCTCCCTTTTAAGTAGAAAGAGTGAGCAACAGCTTCTTCTGCGGTGTCATTCTACATGTCTCCAGGCCGATCACTCCCACGGTCGGCTTCTTGTTGGATTTCAACCGGAGGGAGCGGCTGCCACTCAAAGATTGTACTCTATCAAGGGCAACCCTTTCACTGCGAACGGCCACATTAAAATTACTTTCCTTCGAACAATCCTCCCCACTGTCAACAAATGCTGAGCCAAATTAGACTGCAACCCACACAGGCAGCAAAAAGTCAATCCGGGCGTGCAGGGCCTCAAGCATGCTGCTGGCTGATGCGACAAAGGCGGAAGGAGGAGCTTGCAAAAGTCAATAGTGAGGCGGTTTGGGTGCTCATGTTACCAGCGTCCCAATCATCCCCGCCTCATTGATTTGCGTGCCGGCTACGGCCAGCACTTCCACGACCTGTTGATCTTTGGGCTCGGACGCAGGTCCTTGAAAAGATGGAGGTTCCGAAAGTGACCGGTTCATCTAATTTGCCATTGATCCGCTTTCCAGTCTTTACGGTCTACCTTGGAGCCTAGTCCAGAAAAAGAATCCCAGATTTTGCCACAACGCGCACGTCCAGTACTGGCAAGAAGGTACAATAGCAGACTGTTCTGTGGCTTGAGCTCTGGCTCTGAGGCGAGCTGAGGGGACGGCTTTGCCCGGGCGATCTACAACGATGTCCTCAGCTTGAGCCAGCTGTGCTTCTCTGGCCATGTCCCCTTTCCAGTTGCCACGTGAGTTGCACAGGGGCAAACGCCTTGCAGCCGTGGCTCATTCAGCATCTTCATTGCTGACAGCACTGCCAGCACTGTGCCCGCAGAGACCTCATCGCCGACCTTCACCTTGACCTGCCAAAGCGACGAAGAAAACTGTCAACAGCAGGGTTGGGCAACATGTGTCTGAACATCCAAACCCAACTGTAATCCTGAAGGAAACACCTGGTCCAGCGCTGATCGACAGAAACAATGAACAATGGCAATGGGACAAATGCATTGCCGCCCGCCTCTGTCACTTGAGCAGGAAACGGAGCATCAATCTGCAGCGAAACGCAGCAAAGTGGCTGACGCATTTTCCCGAATCTTTCCGCGGGTTTGTCAATTGAGACTCGGTTGCTCTTTGGCCATTGGCCTTCCAATGACAGCACGACTGCGAACAAGTATGACATGCGTATTTAGCTGATTGGCCAGAGCAAGGGCTTCCGTATGGATCCTTGCGACCGGCAAGCAAGAAGCAGCCACTGTGCAACCTGAAAGGCCTGGAGTGCTTGCTTTGTGACAAGCCATTTGGAACTGTTGCCCTCTGCTAACATGAGAGGACCAATGGCTTTGGCTGGGCTGGCGGCTTCCAGACGACAAACCATTGAGCCTACCCGCAAAATCACCGGACATACTGGGAAAGTTGAAAGCACATGTATGTTACGTGATTTTTCATGACTCCCTTAAGTTTGCTTACAGTTCGCAACAGCCGTCCGGAATCCGGGTAAATTGGCAGAACAACCCTAACTTCAACTTTGGCGAATCGCCTGCAGCACACCGCCAGCAGCAACGGCTGCACTCGCCTGGTGGGACAAGGTTTTCTGCAAGGCTCGGCCCAAATCGTGCAAAGTTCTCCACTTGGCTTTGTTAGCCTCAAATTGCAGACTGTGGGGGATCAAAGTTTCCAATGTTGCAACTACGTTTCTCGTGTCTCAGCAACATGTTCGCTCCCTCCACATACCTTGCGCACACACACACACACACAGCGCGCCATGCGCTCGCGACGTGCACACACGCACAAAGAAACAAAGAAACAAAAGAACACAACCAAACAAACAAACAAACAACCAACCAACCAACCAACCAACCCACCAACCCACCAACCCACCAACCCACCAACCCACCAACCCACCAACCCACCAACCCACCAACCCACCAACCCACCAACCCACCAACCCACCAACCCACCAACCCACCAACCACACAACCAACCAAAGAATTCAAGAAATGAAGCAAGCAAGCAAGCAAGCAAGCAAGCAAGCAAGGAAAGAAAGAAAGAAAGAAAGAACGAAAGACAGAACGAAAGAGACAAAGACAGAAGGACAGAAAAGCAGAAAGAAAGAAATATGGAAGAACATAAATACAGAATCAATCAAGACAAACAGGGACAAACGAACACGCAAGCAGGCAGGCAGGCAGGCAGGCAGGCAGGCAGGCAGGCAGGCAGGCAGGCAGGCAGGCAGGCAGGCAAGCAAGCAAGCAAGCAAGCAAGCAAGCAAGCACGCAAGCAAGCAAGCGAGGGAGCGAGCGAGCGAGCGAGCGAGCAAGCAAACCAGCAATCAAGCAAGCAAGCAAGCAAACAAGCAAACAAGCAAACACGCAAGCAAGCAAACAAGCACACAATGAAAACAAAACAAACCACAACAAAAAACAATTAACACAAAACAAACAAAAAACAAGCAACCAAGCAATCAAGCAAATAACGCGAAACAAATCAAGCGAACCAAACAAATAAAGCAAACAAACAAAACACCAAACAACACAAACAAGCAAGCAAGCAAATAAAGTCACATGCAAACATTCAGAAGGGGTGCGGATTTATTTTGTTTTTTTTCTCCGTTTTTTTTTTTCTCCCCCCGTCCGGGCCAGTAAAATTTTGTATTTTACAGCATTTTCTCGCACAGTTGACATATTTACACTGGCCCGTCAACATCCCGAGCATCGTTTTCAACATCCCCCGCATGTCCGACCAACATCCCTAGCATCACCAACAAATCGTGGCAACAACATGATCATTCAAATAGGAGGGCATTTCACTCGCTGCCAAGCAAATCTAAAAAGTAGCAGGGGGGTCCCCATGATGTTCGAGGAAGTTATGATTTAACTAGGGGTGCTGCAAACAATCCAACAAGTTGTGGGGGGGTTGGGGGTGCGGCAGCCCCCCCTATGATGTTCGAAGAAGTGATGATTCAAATAGGGGTGCAATGATTCAAGAAAGGGTGCGATAGACTATAAAAAGCAGCGGGAGGCTTGGCGGGGGTGGCTTCCCCTATGATTTCGAAGAAGTGCATGCATACACACATACAAACATACATAGATTACATAGATTACATAAAATGTCGTATTTTACATCATTTTCTCGCGAAATTGGATGCTCGAAAAAGTGATGAACCAAATAGGGGTGCAATTAAATCTCTGCAAGAAATCTCAAAAGTAGCGGGCTGGGGGGGGGGGGGGGGGGGGGGGGCGGCAGCCCCCGCCCATGATGTTTGAAGAAGTGATGATTCAAATAGGGGTGCAATCAAATCTTTGCAAACAATCCAAAACGTTGCGGGGGGGTTCGCGGGGGCGGCAGCCCCCCCATGATGTTCGAAGAAGTGATGATTCAAACAGGGAGGGACTTGCGGGAAGCCAAAGCCCAAAACCAATGAACCGGAGAGGAACTGGGAAAGCAGAGGATGCAGAAAGCCAAAGCCACCCAAAGCTGCATAAACCAGCGAAAAGCTGCAAACGCAACCTGTTTTGAACTGGGAATGCAAACAAAGCCAAAAAGCCACCAAAAGCCGCGTAACAAAAAGCCAAGAAGCCAAGAAGCCGAAAAGCCGGGAAGCCGAAAAGCCAAGAAGCCAAAAGCGAAAACAAATCCAAAAAAAAAAGAAACAAATCCTAAAGTAAATACCCCTCCATTCACAGGTCTGTTTGGGTGTGGTTGTGTCTCATCGCGACTTGCTCTTCAGAGTCAATTTTATGGTACCAATCGCGTTTTCGGTAAGCTGGCCTGTGGAGGCATGTGCAGCTTGTTCTGCTCCACCCAGGTGGTGTGCACCGTATCCTTCACAAAGTCCTGCCACAAGAATCCAGACTTCCAAAAAGACACCCTTTTTGGGTTGTTTGACTTTGCAGGGGACCCCACCCACAAAAAACATAAATAACAAAACAGACGAAGAGGAAGCGAAACAAGGGCGCCACTCGAGGTCTGGGCAATGGATTCTATTGATCCTGGGTCCGGGCCCCCATTCTGAACAGGCGAGTGCTAAAGAGCCAAAGCTGAGTCCGAACAAAGTTGCCATGCTAGAAAAAGAAGAACCCTTTTTGGGTTGACCATCTTTAGTGGGGAGCCTTCCAAACAAGGCTACCCTTTCTGGCATGGCAAAAAGGGAAACTAAAGTTAAAGGGAAGCCCGTCAGGGCTGAAGCAAGAAGTCCTGGTGCTCGAGGATGCGCTGCAAGAAGTCCGAGTTCAGCTTCAGGCCTTTGGCCTTGAAGCCCCGCACGGCCTGACGCACCCACGCCGTGCGTCAAAACCAGCCAGCGGGACACCTCCGAAAGACAGGAGGTGGGTCAAAAGGCGATTGGCATCCTGATATCCTGGCGTCCTTCTGTCTTCTTTGTGCACTACATCTTGGGATTACACTCTGGAAGGACCCAGAATGGATGATTGGATCGACGTAACAAGGTTTTGCCTGGACACAATCTAAAATGAGGCTGCTTCACAGTGGGTCGAGATAGTATAATCCCGTGATAACATCTCCCATTTAACTTCTCGCGGATGAAATGATCGTTCCACCTTAGTGTGCGAGACACGCCACGGTCAAGGCCTCAACAATAAAATGATAGATGCAGCTACTGGGTTTGACTAAAAGTGATAGTAGTTTTATAACTCTAAAACAAACATTTTTCACGAAGAAAACATGGGCTTCTTCCACCAAGCCCCCACACTGACTGCCAATTCCCGGATGTCGCACGACATTGCACGTCTGACCACATCGGCGGCACTCCCAGCTCCCTCGCTGCAGCGTTTTGTCTCCCTTTTGAAAGACAGACTTGGCTTGGCTGGAACGCTTTGGCGCAGCTCGCTTTCAACTGCGCCCGCAAGAACCAATAAGCTACACAAACGCAGCTCCACCAGGACACGGAGGACATCCATGCCATCTCATCAAAGTCAAAAAGCAATCAAAATGACTCCATGATGGACTGGTTGACTTTGAGAGCCTGGACTGAGTCCAGCGCCTGCTTCTTGGACAGCATATGTTTCCAGTCAACTCCGCGCAGAACGCATTTACACCTTCGGCATTCATCGTTCCTGAGAACAGAGTTAAAATCAAGAATGAGCTCCAGGTGTCCAACAAACTTGGTGAGGGATTCTACATTTGTTCAGGAATCCCACGAGCCTTCATCTGTCAAGGTCGCCAAGGTCAATACTCCCAAAAGCGTACCGGTCCAAAAAGTGAGCGAACGTGACACACACTTTGGAGCTCACTCGCTGCACGTCTCGAGTAGGGCACCTGAGCATGCGCAAGTGTTGCGGCAATGGGCTGCCAATCTACCTTCAATCTACAAACATTGCAATTAAGCGAGCTGTATCGGAAACAAAAGCCACCAAGCCAACAAAGGCTGCCGAGTGCGAAACAACATGGTAAGCATCGTCCATGTAGTAAAAACAGGACTGACTGTTGTACAGTCCAGACTTGCAAAAACTCGACGTGGCGAATGGTCAAAACTGCTTGTATGAAAGCTCCGAACTCCACCTTTTGCGCCCCATCTCGGCAAGTTTTGCGCCCGTCACTTGAAAGCCATGATGTAACACGATTGTATATCTTGGACCTGCCAGGCAATCAACTGAGGCTAAGAACTCAAGCCGCGGGTGAGTCCACCAACTTGGCCCGTAATAATATTTGAGATGGGCGCCGCGCGCCGGATGGAATTGTACTTGCACTTCGGATGTACCGGGTGCTGAACGATCACAAGTCATCGCAGCAAGTTACCAGCAACGCGTGTGCGTGATTGATCAGCACCAACACTGTAATTGAACTGTCCATGCGCGCATCACAGAGCTTTGCCATCAGTAGGTCGATCAAACATGCGCAACAATCCGAGCGGTTGCCCCTCTTCGTCCGGCCAGCTCTGTGATTTTAGCTGTTCCCCGCCTCAGCCAGCGCTGCTGCTGCCCTGGCAGCCCTGTGACTCAACTGGATTGTACCCACCGAACCCACAAATGAGCAACGGCTTACTAATGGCTCAACTGGGTGGCACCCTGGTGGTGGTTGGACAGTTAGGAAGATTCGGTGGTCGCTCCGTTTCGTGCGTCGCTCAAGAAACATGTCCAGTTATATTGCGCTGCCAGTGTGCAAATGCAGCTTCCCTCATTCTTGGCCCATCACCTGTCACCTTGCAATACCTTGTGACACCGAACATGACAAATGTTCGTGGTGGCTCGTGGCCCATGCATCTCAAGGCATGGATGTTTGGCAAAAGGACATCTCCGTCTCGGAAACCAAGATATATGTCGCCTGGAGAGGGGATCCCAAAAATGTACTCTCAATTTGATACCAATCCACAAGCAGGTTTACCTCCCCTTTCTCCCCCCTTCACCGCGGCCGAGCCTTCCCAGCTTTCCTCAATTCCGAGCTGGCGCCAAGACCGAGTTGGCTGTGAGGTGATAGGCCGCCTTGTGGCATCGGCCAAGTTGGAGAATGGATCAAGGGTCTTTAAGGTGTGTCAAAATGATACAAACAACTGAAAGGAGAATCCAATGATCCGTCATGAATATTCTTCACAGCTCAATAATATGATATCACTGGCTGGTCATAGGCTCGTTGCGGTCAGTGCAGTAGTATTTTAGCCGGTCGGCTCAATCAGCACATGCCCGTCTTGGTGTCGGGCGGTCAAAAGATGCGCCAAGGTGCACAGTGGCATGGGGGCAGTGCACAGCCCGCAAGTTGCCAATTCGGTTCAAGGGCATTGCACTACCCTGGATGTTAGCAGTGTGGTAATGCCATCATGAGGAAAAAAAGTATTTCTGCGTGCATTTTGCCCTCGGTCCTTGCCGAAGGCGAAAAGGAAGACTTGGGGCAACTTTACAGCAGGTTAAGACTTCGCCCCCTGTTAACAGAGAACAAAAGCATGCACACAATGCCTAGCTGCAACTCCCCTCGAGCTGCCTAGGGCTGCCAGCTGCCTAGCTGTAACGACTCATTGAGATGATGCGATCGGCCGAGAAGACCAAATACTCCAGGCCATCACCCGGGTTGAAGGACACCGAGTCGTAGCTTTGCCTAGCATTATCTGCTCCTCGGCACTTGCTGTTCAGCAGGATGTTTCCTTGCTGAGGGCAAAATTCGGATTAGTCTATGTAGGGAACCCACGTAACAAGATATGTAAATCCTGGAAGTCTCCTTCGCAGGGACAAAACCAATCTGGAGAAAAGGGGGGGAGCATGGGCACTGAACAATCTGAGCCGGGTGTCTGCCCAAATCCACTTCCGCCTCAATGACTGCGCCGCGCTGGGAGTCTGGCCCCAGTTTGGTTTCCGGGATCTGGGGCTTGGTGTAGAAATAAATGGCCCCTCCGCACCATCCGGAGTTGCCCGGCCTGCAGCAGGTTATTGTTGCAGCCCCCAAGAATCAAAGTGCACATAAGCGACACAAGGGGCCTGAAAAGGGGAAGTGTCACTTAATTGCTTGGGCTACCCCGGCCTGAAGGCCGAAGCCAAGATCTTCTCGGCGGTTTCTGGGCTGGTCTCATGGTACAGCTTCATGATGCCAGGCTCCGAAACTTTCGCGTCAAAGGGTGCATCGCCCGGTGAAGGGGCTGGGGCGGGGGCAGGAGCGGGGGCGGGAGCTGGCCTTGTGCACACGCCTTCGCAATAGATGTTGCCCCAACCACATGGCTTTGCTCCCACCAACTTCCCTCCTGCCTTGCAGTGGGGGTAGATGTAGGCCGGACATGGGTAACACTGCCCATCCGTGTAAGTGTTGCCGCCGCCGCCCCCGCCGCCCCCGCCGCCCCCGCCGCCCCCGCCGCCCCCGCCGCCCCCGCCGGCGGGGGGCCTGGGTGCTGGAGCAGGTGCCGGCCGATCTGGCAAGATGCAATAGGCTTGGCAAAAGGCGATGGTCGTTGGGCACGCTTTGTAAGTAGTCGGGGATGGTCGCCCCCCACGGGAGCAGTGCTGCCCGGGATAGAGGTAGGGAGGACAGGCACTGCATTGGCCATCCCAGTACCCGCCACCACTGAGCGAGCGAAGCTGTGCTTCGGAGCTCGTCTCGTTTTGGCCGGAGGTTGTCTCGTTGTGGCCCCGCAAGCTACTTGACGCCAGTGCTACGTTAGCAGCACCTGCACACAGCAACACTGAACGCCATCCTGCCATCTCAAAGCGACTTCTGCACTGGTCGATAAGACAACTTGAGTTGTGCGGCTGGCGGCATCGGGTTGCATTCTGCTGCACCGAGCAAGTCTACTATTGTTTGGCCAATCCATTTGTCAACGAGTCCCATGGTTCATGCCGCACAATCAGAATTGAGGTTCCGGCCAAGTTCCATGGCGCATGCCACATGATGCGATGAGGCGATGACTATGCACCAGGGCAAGACTGGAAAATGCCCTCTGCACTGCCTGAAAATGAACCTGGCAATCCAACCAATACATGTTGAGTATCCTCATCGTTATGACCTGTGGGCCATGCTGCTAGAGCCATGAGGTTCCAAGCTCGGCCCGCGCCGAAGCGGGAGGCCTGATACTTAGTCCAAGCACCTGGCTCGATGCTGGCATGCCCACATGACGTGTCATAGGTGCGTCTTTCAAATCACTGGTTGGCTTATCATGGTTTATTGGTGCAACGCATGCCCAGCTGTAGTGAGATTTATTAGGTGAAAAGGAAGGTATCCACTCCGAGGAAAAAAAGTGCTTCCAAAGCCGCGACTCAAATACCTGCCGCAGGCCTCCAAAGCAGCCTTGAGCGCTTGGCCGAAATCCTCACCCCAGACTATCAGCCTGGCCAATGCCAAGCAGTGTGGCTTTTGGATACCAAAGATTTAAGTGCTTTCTGCCCCTGTGAAGGGTTAGCAAGAACTTGCAGGTGCCGCACCGCGAGCCAAGAAGGTGAGCTGCCTGAAACTGCCGACTGAATATTTCACGCCGCGCCATGTCTGTATGACAGTATTGGATCACAGTGGCCCGTAGATTTGCTTTTGCGGTAAACATTGTGAAGTGCTCACTAACTTCATGCTCAGGGTTCTCTTGTGCGTATGAGCCAAATTCTGGCATGCTGTGGCAGGCGAAGCACACACTCACACAAATCCTGAGCGCGAGCATTTTTGATGTTCAAACGGACCTGGCTTGACACAAGCGATCATTCTATACGTATTACAATATTCTTCAGAAAAGCAAGCAATCTTTGCGGCGCGGCAAACATGCCAAGCAGGCTTGGCAATCATGGGATCGTAGTCGGTCACAGCCTGTTCAGATTCTGGCAACTGGTATGGGGGCCATGCACGCCAGAGCTGGAAGGATCCATTTGGCTCACCACCAGGCCCATCCTTTATCGGTGGCAACGCTGGTCACAAACCCACCTGTCGTAGAAGCTATCTCCGCTTTTCAGCCCTCATAGCATCGAGGTTTCGAGGCGATGTGCGATGAACCCCAAGTGGCGTAGTTCAAGCCAGGTGGCTACTGTCCCTGCGCCAATAGAGGTCTCCACCTGAGCAGCACAATGCCAACCAGGATAGCAGGTTTGAGTGCTCTCTGAATGAGGTCATCTGTTTGTCAGCCCTCAAATGATGTTGTGTTTGTTCAGGTCCAAACGTATGAGCCACCAGCGCTCACTGCAACTATCAACTGCAAGGGTCGCAGGCCGAGTTGGGCGAAGGTGTTTATACAACCAGGCTCTAGTCCCTTAAAAACGGAACCAACAACAGGTTGCTTACACCATCAGTGTCAAGCATGCTCAAACAGGTTGGCTGAACCCAGGTCGCAAGGGTCTCGTAGCACGTGGCAAGAATGATCTTCGACTTTCTGGGGTCCTCGCGCGTACCTTTGGAGGCTCCTGGCGAGGTTACTGGTGGTGGGCAACATCTGCCGCAGAATCATCGGCAGATTCTCATCCCAAATAGACTTGGCCCCTTGCCTCTGTTGACAACAGTGTCAGCTCGGATATCAGGGCGCCCACTCAGGATTTCCGCCCTGTGGATGAGTTTATGAATCTTGTTTCGTTGGACTCCAATCAGCTTTAAAACTATTTAAAACAGGAAAATGTCAGATAGCCAAACAACTCACCTTGGTGATGGCAAAGGCCAGGGTCTCTGCTTGTTCGGCTTGGGTTGGATCGAGGACCCAATAAACCTCCGACTAGGGGATTCTCACACACACACACCATTCAGAAATACATGGCAACATGAATTTGCATAGTGAGCTGATCTCCAAGCATTTGGGCATGTCCAAGCTCAAGTTGGGCGGTTTCCCCTTTCAAATCCAAAAAGGGTACCCGAAAAACCACGCGACGAAAGCCATAGCCAGCCTCCCGGACGGCGCCTGGTAGTCCGCCACCTGCCCGCCTCCTCCGGGCAAAAGGCCCACCCGAACTTGGATGGCGGAGCCCTGAGCGGCTCCAAATGCCCAGCGATTGAAATCAAACACAAACGTTTTGGCTTTCCAAGGGATAGCAATTGGCTTCACGTCGCACCCTTGAGAGATGTGTTTCTCGCGGAAGTCGGTTTGGATGCTTCTGGATTGAAAGAAATCGTACGTAGCAAACACCAAACCAGTCGGAAAGGCACCGAGTCTGAAGCCAAACCCGAAAAAAGTGGGCTTCATGTGGAGGTGAAAGGTCCAGTGCCCATGGTCACCTCAACTGGAGGAATTTGCGCGAGGAACTTGTGCATCCAAGTTGGAACCCAGGCCTGCAGGTTTGTTCACTTGCGAGGCATAAGGCCAAGTCGGGCAGCGAAGACTTGCAAGCCTCTTCCTGTCACTTCCTGAGTGGATTGGCCGAAAGTAGAAACTGTTTTTACAACTAGAATGATCTTCCCCAAATAGTACCAAGTCCAGAAACTCAAGGAACAAAAATGAAACAAGGTCTGCGTCGAAATGCCCTCTCGGCCTTGAAGCTCAACTTCTTCTGTTCCAGGCCAAGATCGGCCAAGGTCATGCCTCCTGCGGACGGCTCGGCGCTCCGAATCGGCCATGATCTGGGGCCTTTGCACGAAGCCGCGAGAAAACCCTGGGCGAAAGTCCCTTCACAGGTGAAGCTCAATTTGCCTCGTCTTAGATCCATTGCCAATTCATCCTGGGAGCTCCTTGGGGAATCGGCGGCATGTGTGACAGCCGCCAATGGCCCCAGCCTGCGATCTTGAACTGGGTCTGGACCAAGTCAATGCCCGTGATCTCCTTCTTGCCGTCAAAAGTTTGGGATGCTTGCCCTTTGTACTTTGTGCACCTGATATGTTCCTCTACGTCATTTCATTTCCCCATTTGTGTGGTCAAACACGCACAAATGCAACCATGGCCGCGCGAATGATCCATGGCTGGGTTCCTGTTAGCAGGTTGGCAGGGTGCGACAAGCGCTACCCAGGGCCCACTGGAGCTGTGAGTTTTGCGCTTGCCGGAAACACTGACTCTACATATGCTCAACCTGGGTTGAGTTTCTTACTCAAGTTAACATGCAAACGTGGCTGGGCATCTTGTTGCACGACACCGACATCAGAACGCTGACGGGACGCCTCTACGCTGGCAACAAATGCAAGAGCCTTGGCATAGCATCGTTGCTGCATCCAGCGCAGTCAAACATAGGCCCGTCACAACATCAGCAGGCCCAACGCAAGCGGGCTTCCCTCTTGGCACTTGTTCAGAATGCAAAGTGACACGTGGACGGACCTCATGTTGGAGGATTTTTGTTTGAGGATCCCAGGCTGGCTACGTCGTTGTGAGACAACAAACAAGAGCCGCAATACATTTGAGTTGTCGCTTGTCCGAGCCTCTGTGATGGTGTGCTCCACTTGAATGCGTGGATTCCTCAGCTTGGATGCACCTTCAATCCAGTTAACGACAGGCGGCTCGTTCCCCACAGCTCACCCACCACCATCATGATAATCAGTTATCATGGTCAAAATCATCCTCTTCATCCTAATCCTCATGCTCCTCCTCCTCCTTTTCCTCTTCCTCTTCCTCCTCCTCCTCCTCATTGTCATCAGCAGCAGTATTGCGACCGGAGCACCGTATCTTAAACCAAGGCGCTCATGTCTGTATGGGATTCAGTATTCTTTTCCACAGCGGCTGCAGTCTCCAGAGCTGATCGCCCACCCTGCATTGTCTTGCGCCAGGGCGCAATTCCAGGAAGTAGAATCCCGCCGCCTTGTCTCTGAGATCCCCCTGGCAAATCTCCAATGAGCAAACATAGCGCAAGACAATTTCCCTCCGAATAGCAAGCGAGCAAGCGAGCCAGCAGGAGTGCAAAAGGGCACCCGAGGGATCGCAGTTGGAAGCCGCCCGGCTTTTGCAGAGAATTCAACACTGACTAGGTGTTGCTTGACACATGCGGCCCAGTGAATCTCACGAGTTGTAGCATCAGGACTGCCTCCACCAGAAACTCCACGGTGCCGGCATTCTGGTATCCAACCTAGGCATGCAATCCAGTGTCTGAATCCCAATCATCAAAACCAAAATGCGCAGCTTGAATGCTTTGGCGGACAACTCCATCTAAGAAGTTGCTGCAGTGTTGTGCTCCATTGTCCTCCCGACATTGAATGGCATATATATATATATACATATACATATATATATATATATACATACTCCTAATAAGCATATATGTATGTATGTGTGTACATATAGATATAAGCTCGAGCCAAACAATAACAAGGTAACAATAAACACTCGCACAGCTTTCATCTCAGCTTGGTGCACCATAAGACTTGTCAGCCTTTTCCGGCATGGTGCACATTCTGTACTTCCTTGGTCTATGAAGCAAAGTCGACAATCGTGACATCAGCCCGGCCTGTCCATGCAGATCGTTGGTGGACTGGGGGGCTTGCTGGTTTGGTTTAAGTTTCATATTCAAATTGCGGCAACATGCCCGCCATATCTGTCTCTTGACCTGTACAACCTCTGCAACAAAGTGGCAAGAGGCTGCTGCGGCAAGGAGATCAGACAGCCTTTGGGTGCGTGTCTGTTGAGGCCTTGTCTTGATCAAAGGGAGAAGAACAGCAACGAGAGGCATCTTGGGATCCGCTCTTGTAAGACGCACCCAGTTCTGCCAGACCACGTCGTGCCACACTGTAAACGCGCCTCTCTCCCAACGTGAAAACACGGTCAAGTCCGCGAGTTATCTACAATATAAATCAGTGCTTCCCAAATAGGGAGCCCAAAATAAACTCATGATGAACGAGGAGGTTCCCTATTCTAAGACGCACCCTAACCATAGTAGCTTCGCAAAAGCCCAAGCTGTTCCGGGCAGGGAACCATCACGGCCTCTTTTTCAGGCTGAGGTCCCAATCGACAATTTGTTTCACACAGTCTCCACATCGATCACGTTGCCGGATGGGCCACCGGAGGCATCCAAATTTCGGCCATCCAGGGACAAACTGTTGAAGGTCACTCCTTTATCCCCGATAGATGCAGAGCAGGTGACCATGCCAGACTTTGAATCGCCTTTGGCTTGAAACTGCAGTTGCACCTGCTTGCTTTGTCTTCCATTGATGTTCATTGATGAGTAGGACTGGCTGAATATTGGGCCACACTGAACCCTTGATCCCAATTCACCACTCCGAGTGAGGATAGTCTGTGCTTCTGACAGAACTGCTTGAGTGTCATCGCGGCTGTCCTTCATGAGGTTTCCGAAAAGTCCCAATGCTGGCTGCAGGAGAGCGGAAAAGATTCCAAAGCCCCCTCCTGAACTGTCGAATAAGGGGGCAGGCTCAGATTCCTTCCTTTTCTCGATCTTGTCCCCGCCACCAAACAAACCCATGACGGCATTGCCGATCTTCTGCAGGAAGCCTGGCTCCTCCTTTCCCTTTCCTTTTGCCACTTGTTTCTTATCATCGCCGCCGAAGAACCTTCGTGCTGTTAGAGTCTGGATCCTGTTCTGCCCTGCTGGCACCATAGCATACGTCTGCACCGCCCCCGCATGGGACACTGCAAAGCGTGCTGGCGAAGTGTTTAAGGAGCTTCTGAGTTGCACGAAGGTGGTGCAAAGGAGGCTTCCCATCATTGAACATGCTGCAACCAGCACCAGTAAGGAGGCAGCATGAGTGGTCCGCTTGATGTGGGGCAACTGCGGCATTGAGCGCGGCCTCATGCCACTGGCACTCGAGCATACTGCTTTCAGCGCTAGAGCCAAACCGAAAAGTGACTGTGCGCAAGTCAAGCCATCCTATCACGCCAGCAAGGGTGGGTTGAGCGGTTTACGAGTTCCGTCCCATGACGCAAATCAGCTGCTAACATGCAGCTGGCATGGCTGGAGGACAGCCATTCTTCTCGCAATGAAAGACCTTGGGCCCCTCATATCCTGAACTCACTGTGAGCTCGAGGACTTGTTTGTTAAAGCGTTGCGGCCTGCGACAAGACCCTTGCAAGAAAAGCCATGAACAAGGCCTGAGCGCCGAACCGACTCGCAAAGGGCCACGGCAGCAGAGGTGATCCGCTCTCGGAGCTCCGGATTCATGCCTAGTGCGAGTCGGTGTCGTGTCGTTTTTGTTGGGGGTACCCGATTTGGGGTGGATTTAACGGAAAACCAGAGGGGAACCACCTATCTATCGGTTTCCCCCATGTGGGCACATGGTGTAGTACGGGCTCTCCTAGGCAGTTCGGAAAGCAACAGTCCTCTCCTCCCAGTGGACAGTTGGGATGAAGGGGACCCTTTTCTGGTTCATTTCAGAAGAAAACTACCATGGCATTGCTCATTTGGACAAGGCTCATTGAATTTCCTCTAGAACATCTATATATTTATGTATGTACATATACACAACAATATGTATGTATAGTATATATATATATATATATATATATGTAAAATCATAATATATCCTATGTCCACATCAAACATTGCACCACCCCTTTCAATAGCCATGAAATTGCAATGTCAATGCTTCCACAGGGTAAATATAAGGTCTCCGTATATGCCTCCAGTAAATTCAGTAAATATCACCTCCAAAGGAACCACAAAGTGATGTAGAATCCTGAAGAAGGAGATCTGCGGACGTCTGGGTAAACCCTTGTGTGTCTGCAATGATTTCAACCCACAAAATAAATACCCCAAACTCACCTCCCTCCGGTGGGCATTGGGTTCACCTGGGTATCTATCCACACCCCAACTCAGGTCGCAGGCCCCGAGCGGGTGCCAGCTCCACCACCTGCGCGCTTGGCCGACTTCTGACGTTCGGACTTCTGCGTTTTTCCATGAAGGGAACTGAGAATATGGTCAGAACCCATAGAGGAAATGGGAAGAACCCTGGAATTTCTGCGGGTTCACCTAGGCTTCCGGCTTCCTTTGGGTTTCTGATGTCAACTCTTTTGTTTCCGAACTTGGAGGGAGCTGCGTTGACTAGCTCACGTGTCTTTAATCCCAAAAGGGCTTCCCCTTTTGACTGGCCCATGTGGGTTTGTCTCAGAATGGGACCCCAAAGAGAAACTCAATGAAGGACCCAAGAAGCGGCGCATAAACCATCGACCCCTGGGTGACTCAGTCGGCCTATGGGGGGGGGGACTGCCCAAAGGCCTTGCTGGGTCACAAGAGCTCGTGCCCGCCAATGGCTGGTGCTGGAACTCCCTGTTGAGGTAAAAACGGGGAAGGCGAAACCACCAATCAAAGACTGCGGTCGACTCACGGATTTTGCGGGCCTTTTGTTTGCGGAGCTGAACGGAGCAATCCCGCTCAAAGAGGTGAATGCAATGCCTGCGCAGCGCCCACAAGCATGCTGAACATCACAAAGCAGTGGTCAAAGATGATGTGCTTTGTACTTGGCATGGTTGTTAGTCGTTTGTTCACTTGCAATATCTACGAGTATATCCGCAGTACCAGTACTTGACTCCAATGTCACTGTAAGGATCAGGATGGGTATAAAGGCAATAGTCGTCTAAAGGGATACTTACCTTCTACCATCCCTGTTGAAGGATCGCTCCTCGTGACCAAACAATGGGTTTGACAAAAGCCTCATTGAAATCGACAAACAACCCCTCCTTACCAACACGTCTCACAATCCCTTGACAAGGCAGGCGGTCAAAGCCCTTTGAACCTAGCGTTGCAGTCTTTTGATGCACATGAGCCAAGGACAAACCCGGCTGCGCAGCATGATACTGTACATGAGCCCGGATGTAGTTACAACTTCTAATTGGGAAGCACCCTCAAACAAGAATGGTTTGTGGACGTAACTCCCTGTGTACATGGCGTACACCAAAGGGTCCAACCAGGAAAAATAACAACCATGTCGTCCCGTGGCAAAGGATTCACCGAATGTTCACGCCAGAAAGCCGACAAGGCGCGAAGCAGAACGCGCCTTCCATCACCCACTACCTGGACCTCGATGTGCATGGCCTTTCGCCAAAACAACAACAGTCACAAGGATGGAAAGGTGAGGGGGAGAGACCCGCCAAGTCCAAATGGTGGCTTTCCACCAGGAGAGTCCGAACTTGAGACACACCCAAAATCAGCAAAAAATGGCTCAGACATTCCATTCAAGTATCCAAGTCCTGTTGTACTGAACAGTCAACTGTTGTGGACCCAATCTTCTGATGCCTTCCAGCAGCAAAACCTCCGCACGATGCGCGCCTTGGCCAGGAACCGCTCCACAAAGACTTCGGGTCGTCCAAAGCCTTGGCTCTCTAAACTGTTACAATGCCGAGGCGCTTGAGTCCAAAGCCTGGAATGTCTGGAACTCGCTGAATGCAAGCACATTTTGGTCCAACAGGCTAACTCTCCCAAATAAGCCGGCCAGGTTTCAACAGTGCATGCGCGCCGCTGGTTGCATATGCCAATCCGCCACCGCTAGTATTCAGAATGTATCCAAATATCTTGAAAGTAATCCGACGGGAAAGCCCCCGGTCTGCGATCCTTGTTCGTTGCTTGCCTTTTGACAATGCCCTTCCCATAAACGTCCAGCACTTCCATGCAGGGCTGTGGGAATTGCTGCCACTGATGTGATACCACTGGCAGGCCTTCGCAATGACGAAATATATTTTCCCTGGTACATAGAAGTTGGACAAACTTCTATGAGTTCAACCAACATCTGACCAAGTTGACCATGAGTCTCACTTGTGAGAGTGTCGCTGGGTGCGGCACTCATTTCTGCCTCCTTGCTGCACTTTTCGAACTCCCTGGCGAAGTCAGCCTCGCTTGGGCATCCGCTCTGATGTGCAGCTAATACATGTCAATGTTCATCGAGAGCCGGGCCGGAGACTCAACCAGTTGTACTTGGCTCAAAAGGGAATTGGTGGTGCCAACCCTTTTGCACATTTGGCTCGCGTCGCAATGCATCAAATCCGGAACCCATGGGATTGAAGCACGGGACCTGGGGCTTCCTTGCGCTTACGAGCAAAAAAGGTCCAACCCGTCCGGCCTCGTTGGCCACAACGGCCTGCCCGCGGCCGCCGCCACCGAAGGCGGCTTTCAGCAGCAGGGGGAACTTCATGGGATTGGCCTGGCGAAAGGCGACACAGAGCTTGGGGCATGGCACCAAAGTGCCTACACACGTGACATACGTGACATATATTCCAGGTGTGGATGGAAATCCACCAGTTGGCAATGAGAACCCATTTCTTGGTATTAGGGGAATCATCATTCCAGGGATTCTGAGGTGCAGGACCCCCTCCCCCACCCCTGTGGAGTGGTTGTGGGTGGGGCTGGTTGGTTCAGTAAGGGTGGTTCTTAAGGTTGGTTGAGGGTTACCTAGTTTAGAGTGAGTTTAGGCTGGGCTGAGAGCCAGCTGAAGGGTATAGACTCGGGTTGGCCCCTGGATGCCAGGACACGCGGGGGTGCCGGGAATGTTGGGGGGATGTCCAGCGAACCTGGGACCGGGAACATGTATATGTGTTCACCGACATACACATATGTCTAGGCCCATATGCAAACACCCACACACGCACACACAAATAAGCGTATGTTTAATACGTATTAACATATTAACAGGAATCCAATCATCTCCCGCCTTGAGGTACTCCGCAGCCTGTTGCGCGCTCGTCAAGCCTGGGCTTCCCGGAAGCACTGGGATCTTTGCCCTCACTGCGGCCTCCTTGGCCTGGCGGAACGGAAAGGCTCGGAAATCGGGCCCCCAAATGGGTTGGTCGAAAAATCAAAGGCAATCCATGGCAATCCAGTACATTAAATAAATGAACGCAGGGTGAACACCTATGGATTCACAGGTGAAACGTATAAAACCCACAACCCATGATTCTTGGGCGAAACCTATGTTCATTAAATGGATATACACAAGGGTATGTACATGGGTGAAAACGTGGGCTGCTCCAAGCAGCCTGTTGGTTGGTCTATTTAGAGACAACCCCACGCAGCTGGGTTGTCTTCAAGCTATGGAAGCTTTCCAATGGGCCTCGCTTTCCCTTGAGGTTACATTTGCGATTAACCCCCAAAAGAAGGAACCCTTACCAAAACACACACACCCAAATGAGCGGCAAGTGAACCAACCAAAAGCATGGGGTGTTTAGCTTTAACATTTAAGCAACCCAAAGGCACCAAACATGCAACGGGACATCACATTGCATTAGCACCCCTCCCTCGCCCATCCTCCTGACACGCACCCATTTGACAAATGCCGTAAGCAGTGATGTGACACGCAGACTAGTCAATGGCCCCATGGCCCATGAACATTCCCCATAGGCCCGCTGTCCACAGCCACCTTGGTCTTGTCCCCAAAGAGATCGATGACTTTGGCCGATGGCCCCACAAACCTCATCGAGGCGCCATCCCCCCAAAGGCTCCAAGGATATCCCAAAGCCCCATTGCTCTCGAGCGACAGTTAGAGCCGGAGGCAATTTGCGAAGCAAAGGTCCTACATTTTATGACTCTATTTGCTTATCTAAGCAACTTTGGGTGCGCCCAGAAGCCATCCTGGACCGGTTTTTCTTGCAGAGGCGCTTCACTCCCTTCTCCTCGCAAAGGGCGACGAATGCCTCGTTCTCAGAAAGAAAGCCGTAACCTGCCCAGGTACCGGCAGGTGCTCCCATCTTGCATGTGGCATAGTCAAATCTCCACCGATTGTGGGCCACGATTTTCTGCAAGTTGATCAATTTCCTCATGAAGGGGCCCCATGACCAGCCCTAACATGTCTGTCAAGAAACAGGAGATGGACAAACATCCTCCTGATGTTGCGTGAAGAATTGCCGGCGGTGTGCGGAGAAAAAAGTGTGTCTCAGTCCCGCCCCCGCAGAACCCCACAACCCTCAGTGATGAGAAGCTGAGGCACTGGATCCGAGCCATAGTGGGAACCGGCTGTTCCAACTAATCACTAGCCATTTAAGAATCTAAGAAGAGAACTGAGAAGGCGAGAACCAAAGCCGGCTTGAGTTCGGAAGCCATCGGGGCTCTGACCGAAAGCCCATGAATCCCCGAGTTCGGCCCTGGAAACACCCCAACGAAGAGTTCCGCCTGGATGGACCGCCTGGCAACCTTCCTGAATGGCAATCTCCAGCAGGTGCCGGGCGTCCAGGTACGGCCTTGGTGAAAGGTGCCAGTTGACAAAGCCCGGGAAGCTACTCGGAAAAAGTCTCGTCCGTGCTGAGGCTTGGCGACTTCTGCTTCTCATACTAAACTCCCTTCCGGTGCAGCACAATGCAGGCTTACCCCCTGTTAACTTAGAAATTGCAATGCTCACAAACACACAAACAAACATTCTCACACACACATACACACAAATGCGTGTCTCTGTGTGTGTGCATGGGGTGTGAGAGTGCGAAACACGCATACACACCCACCACATCTCCCACACCGGGTTGGTTCCAAGACAGGTTCCCTATTCGCCTCGACATGCACCCACCCTCTATCTTGGAAACCAGCTCACGCATTTCGGCGCCGAGTAACTCACTTTAACAACAACACTTCAAGGCAAACTAAAGCACTGTATATACCTCAAAGCCAGCCAAAAGAGGACTGGCCGAGGCGGGCAACCTTTTTACAATTTAGTACCCACGAGACCTCCTTCAGGGCTGCTTCTGGGGGTCCTTGTAAGTTTCCCTCTAATTGGTGGTTTGGATTCGTGGTTTGGGATTTGAAAAAAACCTCCTCAACCACGAACTGCCGATCCAAACCACCAACTGGAGGATCTGAAGAGACGACCGCCGAATGCAGAAAGCGCCTAAGATTTTAAGGCTTCTGCGCTACAGGGCTGGCGCCAGGTGGAAGCTCCACCACCTTGTCCAGCACCTTGGCATGTAGCGACTGGCTGTCCTGCCGGGTCCGGGCGGCGTTGAACACCCCCAAAAATGGAAACCCATCATGTTTGGGGGCCAACCTTAGGATGCCCTTTGGGCAAAGGCTTCATGAGGCATGGGTTGGCCATCCTTGGACTGGTCAGGAGGGTCTAACAGGGGCTCAATCAACTTATTTTTCCATTTCTTACACGAAAATCAGCTCTGCATTCCCTGCAAACTTGTCGCATTTGTTGTTACAAAAACAACTCAATTCGGCAGGTTTCACCCTGATGCTATGTCCTGTAGGACCACCAGCAAATAAACCAAGAGATTTCTCTTCTGAGACGCGCAATGTACATGTTTCCGGCAACTCTCTACAGCCCCTCTGACCGCAGCCGTCTCCTCTTTGGTGCAAACTCCCACAGTTTGCACACCTGCAATCGCACGCAGTCAAAACTCCGACAGATTGGACTGCACGCCAGGGTCAAAAGGTCACCCCAGCGCCCCTGGTAGAAAACGAGAACCTTTCTGAGGCTGACCATATTTTGACAGGGAACACCCCAAAAAACGGCCCACTGAACTGGACAAAGTCGGGCCACATCTACTCGGGCTGCGCTGGCCCGGCCTAGAGCTTTTGCAGCTCGGTGGATGCGGCATGCGATCTCTCCGCGGTTCCTGAGACTCACTTGGCTGGTGCCCAAATGGGTGTGTCTTTGATTAGAGGACCCCAAACATGGTGAGTTCCCTTTGAAGCCACAAAAAACAAAGCACCCTTGAAAAAAGACACACCCGTGCTTGGCTGTGAGTCAAAGACCTAAGCCTTTTGGTCAATGGACTTGTGCTCACAAGACTTTGAAGCACCTAACCGAGCGACTCTTTCATCACTTGTCACCGTCGAAAGGCTTGCAAAAGTGCGAAGCCCATCCAACACATGAGGGGCTTTCTAAATATCAGTACAAGTGTAGAGCGCGGAGTACATTTCCGCAGCTCCAGCTTGAAAATCGCAAGTGTAGTACGCGAAGTACACTTCCGCAGCTCCAGCTCGAAAATCTCAGCTTTGTAATACAAATGTAGTAATTGTAGTACACAAAGTACCCTTCCGCACGACTTTGTAGCACAAGTGTAGTATGCGATGTACACTTCCGCAGCTCCAGCTCGAAAATCGCAGCTTTGTAGCACAAGTGTAATACACGAAGTACAGTTCCGCAGCTCCAGATTGAAAAGCGCAGCTGTGTTGTACAAGTGCAGTACGCGAAGCACACTTCCGCAGCTCCACAACTTTGCAGAAGAAGTGTGCTACGCGAAGCACACTTCCGCAGCTCGAGCTCGAAAATCGCAGCTTTGTAGTGTAGCACGCAAAGTGCACTTCCGCACCCCTTGCTCGAAAATCGCAGCTTTGTAGTACAAGTGCAGTACGCAAAGTACACTTCCGCAGCTCGAGCTCGAAAATCGCAGCTTTGTAGTGTAGCACGCGAAGTACACTTCCGCACCCCTTGCTCGAAAATCGCAACTTTGTAGTACAAGAGTAGTGCGCGAAGTACACAAAGTACCCTTCCGCACGACTTTGTAGCACAAGAGTAGTATGCGATGTACACTTCCGCAGCTCCAGCTCGAAAATCGCAGCTTTGTAGCACAAGTGTAATACACGAAGTACAGTTCCGCAGCTCCAGATTGAAAAACGCAGCTGTGTTGTACAAGTGCAGTACGCGAAGCACACTTCCGCAGCTCCACAACTTTGCAGCAGAAGTGTACTACGCGAAGCACACTTCCGCAGCTCGAGCTCGAAAATCGCAGCTTTGTAGTGTAGCACGCGAAATACACTTCCGCACCCCTTGCTCGAAAATCGCAACTTTGTAGTACAAGAGTAGTGCGCGAAGTACACTTCTGCAGCTCCAGCTCGAAAATCGCAGCTTTGTAGCACAAGTGTAATACACGAAGTACACTTCCGCAGCTTTGTAGTACAAGTGCACGTCTGCAGCTCCAGAACGAAAATCGCAGCTTTGTAGCGCAAGCACCAGCTCGAAATCGCAACTTTGTAGTCCAAGTGCAGTACGCGAAGTACACTTCCGAGCCCCAGCTCGAAAGCGCAACTTCGTAGGACAAGTGTAGCAAGCGAAGTACACTTCCGCAGCTCCAGGATCAAAATCGAAGCTCTGTGGCACAAGTGTACTTGTAGCACGCAATCGCAGCTTTGTAGTACAAGTGCAGTACGCAAAGTACACTTCCGCAGCTCCAGCGGGAAAATCTTACAAGAATAGCGCGTGAATTACACGTCCGCAGCTCCAGCTCGAAAATCGCAGCTGTGTAGCTCCAGCTCGAAAATCACAGGACAAAGGTACGCGAAGTACACTTCCGCAGCTCCAGCTCGAAAATCGCAGCTTTGTAGTACAAGGACCTTTAGAATGCTTCCCACATACAAAGCTTCCGCGGATCTTCCGCAGAGCTGTGCAGAAAAAAATCAAAACACGTTGCATAATCATGAAAGCATGAGATCTAAACACGTGCTACTTTTTAGTGATAAGCTTCCGCCGCGCTTCTGCGGAGCTTCCGCGACTCGAACCCTACACAAACCGCCCAAAAAAAAGCAAACCGCATTCTGAAAAACAAAGCAAGGGTTTTAGAACGACTCTCACATGGAGAGATGAATTCAGGCCCCTGCTTTGGGTCCTCTGATTGCAGGATACAACAAAACCGCGGATCCCTAGCAAAGACCCTCTCCTGATAGTCTCGCCGACAAATCACAGGAGTAATTATGTTTGGATGACAACTTGAAGAAAACTGGCTCTAATCTTAATTTGAATTGGTGACATCATGCAAATCCATCCCTTTTTGAGGGTGTTCTAGATGCCTACAAAACACCTTGGAGTCCAAGCGTACCCTCCAAAAAAGGCGCGCACACACACAGAGAGATTGAGAAATGGGTGTCATCATATGTCATCCAATGATCCTGGACTGATGCAAAGGACAATGGTCAACGTATTGCTTGACTAGTCTTCAGGAAGGCGAACCAATCCCCACGCCTTGCGAAACATGAACAACTTACTTGGGGCGCCGGCGCAATGAGAATTTTCTGGAACGATCCTGGAGCAATCGCCCTGGATACAGTCCATTTGCAGCAGTTTGCCCCAGACTATCCCGAAGGATCATGTCCTTCAAAAGGCTTACGAGGTACCAGCAACTGTTCGAGGAGAGTGGTCGTTTCTTCTGTCTCAAAGATCAGACATGCTCAAGCATCGTGCAGCTGAAGACTGTGCAACGACAAGTGACTGTGCCGGAAAAATGGGGACCCCCACACTGCTGCTTGATAATGCTTGCTTGGAAAGCTGTCCAACTATGGCGAGTCTGATGGTATGCCACTCAGACTCAGGGCAAAAGCCAGCCCTGTCCTGGATGGCTAACATGACAATGCAGGACTTGAAGTCTCCTGCCCGGGCAGCCCAGCACAAGTACTCGCTGCAGGTGAATCTCTGGGGGTATTGCCAAGCACCTCCGAGATAGGACCAGGCCACATTGACTTCAAGCTCAGTGTCCGTCGTGTGCCAGGGAATAACAGCTATAACAAGATTCATCATACATGCTTCGCAAGGGTGAGCCATACGTCTTTGTGTAGTCCTCCTTGCAGACATGGCTGGATCAAACAATCACCATGAGCTACAATGCAAACAATCGAAACGCACAGCATGGCCAACATGCTTGCATATTATGTTGGCTGCATGATGTTTCGCCATGTTTCACCGAGTCTCGCCTTAAACAACAAAAGAGTGAAGTAAGACTCAGCTGCCACTACCTTTGTTCACAAATGCTCCTGCAGCACCGGCGGGTTTCAGCTGTCTATGACTCGCATTTGAACTGCTTCATGGCTCCAAGCAGCGCGTGAGGGCGGACAAGTGAGCTGTTCCCCGTGCAAGTCCACTGGACCGAGGTGGCTTTCAATTCTGTTTTTGCCAAAAGAACTGTGCAAACGATGAAGGTGCCAGGTGGATGCTGGTGGCTGCTCTTGCTTGCCAAGCATTTGCGGAGGACGACGCTCCTTTTTGGGCTGCTTTTCGGCGGTTGCCTCTTGAAGGCAGATCACGAGGGTACCATAATACGGAGCTGCGGGGCCAAGAGCATTGGGGCACTATCTGCTATGGACCTAGGTCTTAGTCCTCTCATTTATGGGCCTAGGTTTTGCTTCACTCCATTTCATGGGTTTCCGTGCCAGGTGGCTGGACATCACCTTGTTTGTGGAAAGACCCGCTCGAGTGGCAACGGGTCAGTGAAACCTGGGGGTCGACGGAACGCCTGCCCCGGAAATGCGTGGTGCATCTAGCCAACAGCCGACTTGTGTCGAGCTGGCAGCGACCGAATTCAAACGGCAACGCAGATTGTGTGACCTGACAGGAGGAATTGTCATGTGTAACAGGCCCCGGAATCATCCAGGCATTGTGCCAACTCTTTCTTTGTCCAACAATGCACCAACAGTGTCCAACACTGACTGTCCCTGGCAAAAGCTATGCTACGTCCCTTGCAAAAGCGAGCTTTTGTCAAATCCCTCTGAACATATGCCATGATCCCTCGTGGCCGGCGCAGGCGCGTGGCGCTGCCAGACAGCTGCCAGGCTTAGCGACTTGAGCGTGAAACGCTTACAACGGCCGATAGCTGGTCATGTGTCGGAGCTTCGCGTTGGGATCCCGGCGCTGCGCAGCGGCACACATACCGGCTTGCCCATTCCCCCCATCCAAGTGTGGGAGAAAATTTTACGGTTTCCCTTGTCATGTCCTTTCAAAGGAGACTCAAATGGGTTTGGCCCATTTACTGAAACGCGACTGGCGTATAGCATGTAATCACAATGCAGTCTCATGCATTGACAGCGATTCCAAGGCGCACCGGTCCCTTCTCCCGGAGGGTTGGATCGCTCGGCAAAGCGCAAAGTTGACCTGATCGGTCAGGTGTCCACGTTTTCACGTGCTTCAGAACAAGCTGCCTCCTTTTGACTTTCCATGGGACACGCTTTCACAATCTGTCTGAATGCTCGAGTGATCCGAATGCATTACGACACATTCACACGCGCGCAGCTTCTCAATTCGGCCGGAATGGCTTTTGACCATCTGCTTCATTTCAATTGTGTCATCCACCTGGGCGAAATGAAAAACATATTCTGGCAATGCATCCAGAAATCATCCGCAAACTGCCACAAGTGACGAATGGTTGACTGAAAGAAGCGACCGACTTAGGCTGCGTGCTCTGATGACTTGTCGTAGCGTTGGAATCGCATAGTTTGTCTCCTCGGGAGTGGAATGTCCACTCGGCCTCTCTGTCACACCTCAAGCCGTCTTAGCTTTGAGGTCAGTCTTCCTTGAACTGAGCGAATAACGGATCCGTTAAGCAATAATTCTTCACCGGCGAGGCCCGTTTATCCTGTAGCAAACATTGGCTGGGCGTGGTGAAAGACAATTCTTGTCTATGGCACTGGCAGCCTTTTTGTTGATGCAAAACACCACAGACAAGCACCCAGTTTTAGTCAACCCACACAAATCAACTTGAGCGTCCTCCTTCTGGCGAGTGAGGGTCTCAGCGTTCATGAACTTTGAGAGCTGGCAGAGTGCGTTGCTGAGCTGATGTTTATGTTGCTGCTTCCCAGTGCTAGACGGACACAAAATACTGACATCATGTCTGGCAACCTTTCTGTCAGTCTTTCTTCTTTCCGTCATTCCTTCTTTCTTTCTTTCTTTCTTTCATTGGTTCTTTCCTTTTTCTTGGTTTCTTTCTGTCTGTCTGTCTGCCTGCCTGCCTGTCTGTCTGGCTGTCTGTCTGTCTGTCTGTCTGACACGTTCTTGCTTTCTTTCTTTGTTGCTTTCTTTCCACCAAGATTCCATTCTTCCTTCCTGTCTGCCTGTATTTGGTTCGTTCCTTCGGTATCTTTTTGCTTGTGTTACTTCGTGATACATATGCATATATTATGATCTACGGAAGCTACTTGCTACATGGTGCAAATGGTCGGTGTTCCCGTTTGAACTTATTGACCCCCTTTCCAATGCCGCATGTCGTGTGTTTGTGATCTCAGCCACCTATATGTCATGGGTGTTCCCACCCCGTACACCCGCCGCGGTACCATGTGAGTTATTCTGTTTCCTCCTGAAGCAAGGTAACTTGTGTTTCACGAAGCGCATCAAGAAGAAATGGAATGCACAGCACTATTGGATCTTTTCGCAACGAGCGGCGGCCTTCTGACTTCTCAGTGAGACGCGGATTCGTTTGTTCCAGCACAGCCAAGCCGGAATCAGGACAACATTCATGCCCAGCTCCGAAAATCGGGATTTGATATTCATCGAACAGCTGTAAGTGTCCGGCATCACTGGGGTCTCTGAATAAAACCATCTCACGTAAATAACTTAATAGCACAAATCCCATCCAACCTGCCGATAGTCCAGCGCGACAAATCCCATCGGAGCTGGCTGGAACTAGAAGCCAGGGAAGGATTGACTTTCGCAGGTAACCCCACATGCGGCCAGAACCCATTGATTGTTGTTTCTCACAATTCTTTTGAGCCACGCTTGATTCCCTAATGTTACAAGAGGTTAGTCGTCATGTGGACAACTTGTAGCACTAAGGATATCCAAAGTATGTTGCTGCGTACGCCCGCCAGCACATCATGTTTGTTGATCTGGGTTAAGGACGTCCACACATGTCATGGCATTTCGCAGTGAGGTATGCCGCGTTGGAACAGCTCCTAGCGTGTTGAACCACCCCAAAAAGCCGGGGCCTCAGAAGGTGGCTCAGGGTGAGGTCTCCATTGGAACACGGATGGACCATCCGATCGCGAAGGATGTCTCAACAATTTTTGATTTGCCCCGTGCCACCCCTTGAGCAAACATGAGCTGAGGCGTGTCAACGGTCAATAAAGTGTTGGTGCAGCCACGGCTCGCCTGCGCAAGTCGCGCTTCGGCAATTTGTCACAAAGGGGACAACTCATGGCCTTTGGCCATTTGCCCGCAGGCGGCCAACACCTGGCCGTTTAAAATGAGGGACCCGCGTTGCTGTGTGCTTCCGTAGACTCTGAAAGCCTCCTGGTTGGAGTCTGGTTGGAGTCGTTTTGCACTATAGTTAGACTCCGAGAAGGAGGTCCCTCATTCAAGATTCCCAACTGACCATTATGTCGCACTTACCACAGCTCACGCCAAATCACGCAGCGAAGCCTTTCATGATTTGCCTTGTCATTTGCTCAGCCAATCTCGAAAACCTGGCAGTGGCAGTGTGCAGGATCCGCGAAAGAATTCATGCCAACACTCTCAGCGGGCCCCCAAGCGGAACGAGCCCCCCCACCAGCACAAAGCAACACTCACACACACACACACACACACACACACACACACACGCACAGCGGCTCTCGTTCTTCCTCTATCTTGTTTCTCTCTCGCTCTCTCTCTCTCTCTCTGTCTCTCACACACGCACACTCTCTCTCTCTCTCTCTCTGTGTTTCGCACGCATGCACGCGCGTGCGCGGGTGCGTGCGTTAAGCAAGGCATCAGCAAACATGCAACTGACATTTTCTTGCTGCGCCCAACCTCGTGGCCAGATGAATGGACAAACAGCACGCGGTCCAGGCCCTTGGTCATCGTGTCGCAGTAGGTCATGAAGTGATTCACCTTGCAAGGAGCAAGCAAAACAAACATCTAGATTCGTCGAGTCTTTTGCGAACTTCCTGGAGATGCTCCTAGACCATGAACAGCTGCTTAGGGCAAAATCCCATGGAACTGCTACACAACATGCACGCAAATCAACACTCGTGCATTATGTTCCTACCCCATAATCGCAATGAGATGATGCAAGTGCTTCGATGCCTAACTGGGTTCAACAACTCCCGCCATTTCCCTCACCAATTCCAGCCTCTTGGTCCTCCGTACTCCAAACATCCGGCAGGTTCATGACCTTGCAAATGCGATCGCGGGGCTCAGCGTCACTTCTTCCATCACATCTAAAAAATCGGCAGGAAGCCCGCCCGGCTCAATATTGCAAATCGGAGGCATACTGTTCAGTGCTCAGTTGTTCCTTTTGATTCTGCAGTGGGTTCTGGTGCGCGCTTGATCCTAAATGGGGCAGCCCCTAACGACAGCTCTGCTGAACTGTGCTTTGGACAACCTCCCTTCA